GGCAGGGAGGGAAAAATGAGGTCAAGAGTCAATGAGCAGGAGCAGCAGCATTTGCTGAATAGTGTTTGCTCACCAAGGCAGGCAGTATTAGGCCCCTATTCAAAAAACAGTCGACAAGCATCAGCAAAATGGGTGGCTGCAGAGCATTAGAGCCCACAAAAGCAGCCTGGCTGCAAGCCTGTGCTGCTGCTATCACTACCCACGCTTCATGCCCTCCCTCTTGAAATCTATCAGTGATGCTGCTACCTGGTGGGAGGAGGCTGGAAAACTCTCAAGGAGCCTGCAGTGGGTCAGATATTTTGTTTGTCATCTACTGCAGAACTGCAAGAGGGAAGGAAATTCTCCCAGGAGTCAGTCCTCACATAACAAGCACTCCAGCTTAATATCACACCCAGAGAAAGCTGAGAAAAGCAATTAGCGGCCTCTCTTACATGCAGAGTCTGTTTGCAAAAGAACAAAAGCTTCCTACACACAGTATTAATTTGCTTTGGCACGACAGTAGATTGAGCCCATCATACATCCCATCCCTACTCCCACTCTCCCTCCAGCCTGTAATCTTGTGTAGTCACCCAGATTTTGGTATGAATGTCAGGTGGTTAAATATCCCTTTGACACATCTTTCCTACAGGGGGATCTGACCTGTAATTCCTTGTCAGTGATTAGTTAACTGACAGAGACAACCACATATCAAGAGGCTTATCTCAGGTATGAGGCAGACCTGAAAGACAGTTATTATGTCTGGGACCTGGCTTTACCTTCCAACTACACCAAGTATTACCCCTAGTTTTCTTGCCTACATACTCAGATTGTCACAGCTGCAGCAAAGTGCTAACACTGACTCACTATGTAGGTACATCCAAAGTCAATTAACTTCTCCTCACCTCGGTTTCCTATTCATAAAAAACTGATTAAAATGTTCATCCACTCTGATAAAAAGTCGATTAATATTAATATTCAACTTCAGTATCTACAATCACCGTCAATATATAATCACTGCATAGTTCAAGCAACCTGAATGTACACTGCGTATCCCTGTTAAGGGGCTGTTTGTTGGTTTGGGGTTTGTTTTTTTTTTTTTTTCAAATGGGATGTCCAGTGTATTTAAAAAGTGGCTTGTATGCTTATTTTCACACAAAAAACCCAATATGAAAATTGTAATATTAAATGGGAACACCAACCCAATTGCCTAGCTTTCACATAGAATAGTGGAAACAACTGTCATGCACACATTGTTTAAAAACTTTCAAAAAAAGTTGTACACAGGCCCAAAGCCTCCCAAATTCTGATTTTCCTGTGTATAGAAAATGATGCTTAAGTTTAAATGAAAAAATCTAACATTTGAAGAGCAGCAAATGGCACCATATCAGGAAAATCTGTGTTTGAATGTTTGAATCACCTGGACCATGTTTCTCACCTCTTAGGTTTTCTTGCATTAGACTAATTAATGTAGCATTTTATCCAGCGCATAGGAGAGTTCAGTTAGAAAAAGTTCTCATGGTGAAAACATTTCTTGGGCTGGTTCCTCAAAGAAGTGCTGCTTATTCTCTGCAGTTCATCTCTACCTGTATTTCAGCTGCAAGAAACCACTGTCACAGGGAAGACAGCTGTCAGGATCCAATTTAGTCTACTTAGTCTTTCACAAGGCCAAAAATAGCTTTACCTTGATTAACTTAGTTTCTCCACAGACTACCTAATGGATCTATCCCAATTTACTCAGCCTTCAGATCACTTAAGTTATCTGAAGATGTTATTTTCTCATCTTAAATAAGCAGAAGGCTGATTAGTTTGAATTTTTTACGACCACTGCATTTCTTATGCCCCATCCATATGAAGTGTGGGACTTTTCTGACACAGTGCCAAAAGCCTCCTACAAACAGCTAAGTACCTTCAGAATTTTTTCATACAAAACCAAGGAAGGACTGAGGTTGCTCAGCGCTAGGCAGAATTTATCCTGCTGAATACTAAGGAAGCAAAAGACAACCATAAATGAATCTGAGACTGATGACTTAGAAGGAATGCTATGCCACAATAAGCCTAGCTGGTTATCCAGGGCCCAATGCAAAGCAGACAGAAAATACTGGAATAAATGCCCTCCTTGTACTTAACAGGAGTTGGAGAAGTAGCCCTTTATGGGGCAAAGGGCCTTTAAAATGTTGTTTCCTACAATAATCCCACAAAAGGAAATTTTCCTTGACAAAACAAAGTAACAGCCTTCTACAGGACAAAGAATGCAAAAGAGATGATCAGAAAACATAAATGCGTCCAGGTAACATCCTACTAGCAGGTTTAATTACCATCTTGTGCTATGGGGGACTTCTCTGTGTTATCTGTGAGCTTAATTTAATTTAGAAGGTGGAGCTTTGGAAAATAAAATTGAGTTTTACTGTTAAGACAGACGATTCACTCCAGGTAAAGTTTCCCTCATGATGACAGCAGATATGCCTCTCTGCAGGCCCTTGCTGCATTAGAATCGCAAAGCCAAAAATGGCAACATGAAGTGAAATGTAGACTCAGACAGACTCAAAGATATGTCCAAGGACCACAGTAGCAAGTTAAGGAAGAGCTGTATTCTGACACTAGTCTGATACTGATGGTATGCCAAGAACATCCACCCTTTCTTAGATCAAATACAAATTACTTTTCAAATACAAAAGGAAAATATTTCTCTAGCAATGATTGAACAAACTAAGCATTGCACGAAACCTGAAAAACTTAAGTCATCTTGGAGATAGAAAGGAACTGGAGAGAGATGGGTTACAATTCAGAAACAGTTTTTACCGATTTTATGCAAAAAATCAGTGTCTGGTCAGGAGAGGATTTTTGGTTTTCTCTCTTTCTGCACACACACTGATTTCCTGCTGTAATCTGTCTGCAAAAGCTGAGCATTTAGAGAAGCCTTAGCAGCAGCATTCAAGAGTCTCAGAGAACTCTAATGCCAATAAACATTTGCTAGAGGGTCTGATGGAAAAATATATGAACAGATAAGAGATTTGGAAGTCACGATTTTAAATTTGGTACTATTTTTGGCAGGCAAATCCACATTGATCTGAGTCTTGGGGAAAGTTACTGTAATCCTCATGGCAACAGGGACATAATGAGTTTTAGGGAGGAATTGGAGGGGACAGCTAAAGCTGTAAAAATGTTGAACACGTGGCTTTACAGCCTGTCATGCATGTTCTTAATTCTGCTCTTGTTCTTTCCCCCCCCCCACTCCATGACTCCCAGAAAATAGAATGGGATGTAAAACAGAGGAACTAACTCCCCATAATATTGGCAACACAGCTTTCTAGCCCTGGACTAGCTAAAGTACAGAAGGAATCCTACTCAGTGCAACAGCCACTACGTAGCCTGAAATAGCTCAGCAGAGTACAAAAGCCTTGGGAAAGGGTAGGTCAGTATTGCCTCCATGTTAACGTTGTATGTCAAGCCTAAAATAACTCAAAAATGGTCAGTAAGAGAGGGCCTGTCTTTTTGGTTTCTGAACCCCAGTGAAGAATCAGCAGGTCCCATGTCAAAGACAGCTCCCTTGAGGTAGAGTGCTTTTGATTGGCTCTCAGCTAATGCAGATAAAATGCTTCAGAGAAATTATAAATGACAGCTTTGAGAGCAGATTAGTTTCAGGCATTTTAAATCAATGTTTTCCTACTTTGTGCCTTTTTTTCGGGGGGGGCAGGGAGGGAGGAGAGGGAGGGGAGGAGAGGAGAGGACAGGGAGGAGAGGACTACATTTTCAATTTGGTAATCAAGAAATTAACTCAGGTTTATCAGCATTACTTTTTTTTTTTTCATTTTAAGCTTGTCTAGGGTTTTAAGTGGATTCATACAGACAGAATAGGGGCAGGGATATCACTGAAGTGGTGAAGACAAAAACCACAGAACATGGGCAAATGAAGACAAATCTTGGGATCTTAGGGATCAGGGTACAAGCTGCCTGTACAAATTTGGGGCAGATATTATTTGGTCAAAGACAAATAGAATAGTTCCCTTGGCATCTGACACTCGGCAGTCTGTGGGACAAGCAGTGCCAAATTACTATAACTTTGGGAAAAAATCATTTGCAGATGACAAATACCAAATACAGGCTTGATTATAGGGGGAAGGAGAGTCTGAGGGAGGGGGATTGTAGAGGGAGGGGACTCATCATCTCCAGGACATAAAAAAAAACCTGATACCATGTGCAATTATAAGAATAAAGGCCATAATACTGACTGATACTACTTCACTGTTCAATTTATGCATGGGATATTGTCATCTTTTCATTGTGATCTCTGGTCTTTTTAGACTGTGTTTGTTCAGATCCTAGTGCACAATTATGGCTTTCACAGACAACAGCTATGTCAAATCACCACTGAGGGCATCAAAATTATTGATATTTGCAACGAGGGTGCTTTCAGATTTCAGAGACAACAGTTCACCTCAATTGCTTGCTACAATGTTCTTCTGGTACTTTCACTACCAAAATTCTGCTTATTTAGAGATATACTGCTCCCAGTTAGCTGATACATACCTCTTCAGAGTTCTCTCTGATCAATTCTTGTAGCAGAACAAGAATATTGGCATTTGCTATCATAATTGCACTCCCTGGCACTGGCATCTGTTGAGAGAGGAGTAGTATCTGCCTCCTCACCATAACACTCTCTGCCTGATGGGTGGAACTGGTGATACTGCACTTATTTTTCTTTCAGCAGCAACAGCCCTTTTCTACACTGGTACACCTCTTCCAAACCTTAGCCTCACTGCTCTGTACCACACTAAGCCCTTCTTGGTAAGGTCAGGGCATTAATACCTTTTTCTGAAACTCGCGTATTGTTTTACATTTCACAGTGCTTAAGCACTTAAGTTGTACATACCTCTAAGGGGGAGAAAAGGTACCCAGCTGACAACAGCTTAGAAAAAACAGGGAATCCATTTAAACCCACATCGGTTAAGGATCCAATATCTTTTAAAACAAAAATTATAGTTGATATGATTGCAGTTATTACAGCAGGCTGAGATATTCACCTTTGACTGTGACCCGAGCACTGCAAGATGCCTGTCCCGTGTTGTTTTCAGCCAGACAGGTATAAATACCATCATCTTCTGGTAGGGCATCTTGGACAGTCAATTTTGCAACTCCATCTTCAAAAGTGGAATGGGCATACTGAATTGGCTGATCTGCAAACAGAAAGGAAGAGAATTGTCTTAATACATCAGCCACAAGTTTCAAAAGGACTTCTCATTTTCAGTGAAATCTGGATGCCTAACACCAGCCAGTATATTAACGTTCAGAGCCAAATCCTGCCCTCTGGTGCACAGCCACTGCTCTCTAGTGACTACAGACAGCAGCATCCAAGCACAAAGCAGAATATGGTTGTCAGAGAAATCTTGCCATTATGTTCACTGGGTGCCACCTTGAGTAGCAGCAAGAGGAGAAAGGTTTATCTTTGTGTTTCGTACAGATTCTCTCTCAGGTGGATAAGAAATTAAATGCCATGTGCATTTGCTTCAGACATTGTTTCCATCTTGTAATTTGCCTGAAACTAGATATTAGTGTTATTATCTAGATGTGCAAAACCTGTTGGGCATGAAGAAGTACCTGAAGTCCTCCATCAAGTACTTTGTAGTAGAAGACGTTCCAAGAGAGACAGCAAAATCTACAATGGAGCCTAGAGGTTGATTTACACAAGCAGTCAACCTAAACTACAGGATGTATAGTCTGGTAACAGACAGGTACAGTGTGATCTGTAACGACCTGACTGCTATAGAAGTTCATTTTAAGAAACTGGTTCCTTGAATTGGTTTGGAACGTGCTTAAATGTTAGTGAAGACTGGTTAAAGTTTCCTTGCTATTGTTTCAGGAACCGTCATCAATCTGAGACTTACTTTCTGAAATGTTTCTGCAATCTGTTTTCCCAATATTAAATAGTTTCCACTACTGACTCATCATTGGTTGCTTTCCCAGTGTATGCAATGCTTAAGAGGGCCTGGTATCTGTGCATAAACATCATGCTGGAAAAAAAAAATAGGGTCATCTAAGAGAAGAGGGTGAAACTGCAGAAAAAAATGTGCAGGATTGAAACAAAGACATCTGTCGCTTGGGAAACCATGGTCAAAAGCAAAGATCAAAATTGATTCTGTTGCTAAAAGGGTAAATTAAATAACGGCACAGATTTTTCTCTCACCTCTGATTTTCAACACTAGCAAACTCAGAAGGCTGTCATTATCTATGCACTATCTATCAGCATATGAGATTTCATTTTGAAATATAGACATGTGCCAAAATCAGCATCATCCAATACTTACATATATTATAAAATGTGGTAGATGATCTTGTTCTTTTACTTATCTTATAAGTTATCTGTTTGTTAAGTTAGCAAATTTTAGATTGCATGAAAAAACGGGCTGAACATTTAATCAACTGCCCAGAAGACTCCAATTTTAGAATAAACTCTCTCCATCTTCTTTACAGGTGACATGCTTATTATGGGTTACTTTGAGCTCCCTTTCACTCAGTTACACACAAACTGTTTATTAGGTCCCATCACATAATTTTTCCATGTAAGAATAACATTACAGTCAAAGACACACATGTAGAGCAAAAGCCAAAGCAGACAAAGCTTTCTGCAAGAGGACATGGGACACTGGACTGTTTTCCCAGTCTCACTGTAGAATATCTGGAGCCTGCCTGGGATTCTGACATTGAAACTACTGATGGTGTCTAACAATACTATGATGATAACCATATTTTATTTCAGTTGTAAATAAGCAAATGAATAGGACGAGTTTTCTATGTGGCAAAAGAAAACGTGGCCTCCTTCACTGTGTCCTCAAATTTTGTCAAGTCATCCTCTTTCTCACTGCAGCTCCCAACTAAACTGACTAATTTTTAGCACTATTCACAGAACAGTGAATTCACTTACAGGGTATCCTTTTCCTCAGACCCTAGAAAATGAATGCAAGTATATCAGCCCTAAGGAATAACTTGCAGCAAGATTCTAAGTTATGTTCATTGTACTTATATTTTGATCTAATAAAAACAACTCTCACAGTAGTGAAATGTTCCCTTCTCCAGAGGCAGAACAGTCAAATCTCCATGACAGCTTGGCAGCACGAACAATAACAAAAAATACCTTTCTGCTGGCATGTTATGCCAGAAGAAAGGAAATTTTCCCCTGGCCCATTTATTAAAAGCTTTCTGGACAGATCAGAAAGCTATCCTAAAACACTACTGAGAGAATTGTTATGCTCACGTCATGGTCATACTGTTTTTAAATTCAGCAGAAAGAGGCTCAGTTCAACTTATGGGAAATAAAAAAACCACAACTCATGGAAAGCGGTACAAAAAGGAAGATATTTAACATACAGTCACATAGGCCTCATTCCTGCAATTTAAAAATAAGTTACCAATACAGTGGAGTAAGAAGCTAAAGTAAATTTGAGTTACATACAGAAGCATTGTCACAGAGAGCATGTGAAACAGTTATCTATAAGGCTTTGCTGAGGCCAGAACTAAAATATAAGACGTTCACTTTCAGGGGATTTGCCAGTAAATCAATGAAAATTCATAAAGAAACTTAAAATAAAAGGCAGAGTGAGAGCAACAGGACAAAAGAACTATGTTGAAAAAGTTGGAAAAAAGCTTTAAGTCATTAAAATAGGGAAAAAGTATAAGAGGGAAACTCAAGATGGTAGAGCTACAGAGAACAGTAAGAGCTCAAATAAAATCCATAGTTCAGTCAGGTAGCTCTTATTTGTGCAGTCTCTATGAATATGGAAAAACTACTCATCCTCTCAGATACTAAGAAGTAATTATAGACAATACACAAGATACATCATCTATTTTTTGTCTTCGTTGACCTGAAAGAGAGGTCAATCTATAGAATGCCTCGGAAAATGGTTTAAATTCGTATGTAGTCACAGCTGGTAATGCTCAGTATGTAAAATGCTCAGTATGTAAACTAGTATTTGTATGTAACATTGCACAAGAAGTTATTGCAAGTCTTTTGGTTCTTAGGTGGTGAGGATTCCTCAGACATCAGGGGAAGGCAGACTGAATAGCGTACAGGCTGGGCAGCATCAAGGGACACTGCTGAAGTGAGGCTGGCTAGTCTAGGAGTGAGACTGTTCTGCTCTTTTCCTATTTTTTAATTGTTTCTCAAAGCAGCCTTCTGTTCATGTTTCTTATGATTTGAAAACTTAGTCTTTACATTCATTACTTCACCGAGATATGCATACTTTTCTCACTATTCATTTCAAAAATCAATTCTAGGTTGTTATCATTGTCATGCTTGGAAGGCAATTTGCATTTGATATTTTCTTGTGAACTTTACACATCCTGTCCCATATGATTTTTATTTCTATGGGGTTCTGCAAAAGTGCTATATTTTGAACAGTAGTGTGATTGCTCTTAGCAGATTTCTTTTTTCTCTGCCACAGACTATTGGTTGTGAATGTAAAAAGCTTTATATTCCAAGCGTGGACAGCAGTTTGTACATAATTTAAAAAAAAAAAACAAAATTTGTCTTCCTGCCTCAAATTATATACTGTGAGTATACTGTTCTCTTCATATGGACAGTTGATGAAAGACTCCATCAAGTCATTTTGCCAAAAGCATTGTTATGTCTGCTTGGAGTAATATTTCAGGACCAGAAACACAACTTTCTCCTTAATTTGATAGTGTATATAAATACGAGAATTTTGTAGTGTCTAGCTAGCTGTTAGACAGGAAGGAAATGTTTGCATTACAATGGATATCACAATAATGACCTTAGCAGTGTACATGGAATTATCAGCATTAGACTACTGTTTATAATCTGTTCAAGTTTGTATCAAAATGGTATATAAACTGTTATGTATCACAATCAGGTGCAAGACAGAAAAGCATTAAACTATAGTTGTGTGTTTTAGGAGTCTGGAATGAAAGTAGTGTGCTTATGTCTTTAAAATAATATGTGATGTCCATCATTTTTATTATTATGATAATTTCTTGTGCTTCAGTTACTCAGACCCATCACTGCTTTCTGATTTAAGAGCAGAATTAATGCACTGGCTTTCACTTACAGAACCCTAATGGTTTGAAATCCAACTATCTGAAAAAAACCCACCTGCTTTTACCTCTTTGTGATATCGATCCAATTGCAGTTAGAAGCTTGGATGCAAAATAAACATGTTTATACCTGAACAGGGGCAGACTCATCTGAGATTAGTGAGAAGGTCAATTCAGAACAAATATCATGAAAAAAAGGCAGGGGGCACAATGCATACTGGAGGCCTACAGAAACATGTTGCTTATTGATCTGTAGGCTGCATTTTTCGGGAGTTAATGGTTTTCTGGTTAGCAAAGCAGAACAGGGTTACATCAATGGAGATGCTATACCTATGCCTGATGAACTGTAGCACAGAAAGTCATTTGAGACAGGAAGATGCTCTGTATGTGGAAGACAACATCATTCAATGACTAAGTGAAAGCTCCACGAGCAGGGGGTACCCTTGCAACATGAAGATGAAATGACTGACCCTGTGGATCAGAGTTGTTCCTTCTGTGCTGCAAGGCACAATTCTTGCATAGCAAAACAGTGATTCTACTCACATCTGCAAAGGAGGAGCTGCAGAGTAGCCTTCAGACAGAGAAACAAATTATTTCCAATGGGAGAGTGTCAGAGCCTTTACTCACATGTTTCATGTTGTAAATAGAGCAGTGACGTTTCTATTCTAGACATGGAGCTGTTGGTAAGGGGAACAGACCAGGCTGTGGGAACATACCAATCTCAAGGTCATAGTTCATTTGCCCTACCACCTTTTTCAGTTATCCCATTTACTCTGAATAGCTAAAGAAAAACAGAGATCATGTGCAAATAATTAATTTTTAAATAACCAGGAGGAAACATCTTTATGGCAAAGTATGCTATTCTTTGTCTTTAAATGGCACACACACACATACACGCAAAGATAGATACCCTGGGAGAGTCTGCAAAAAAAAAATAAATTGCACTTCAGGAGTACCAGAGGTGATCCAGGGTTAAGCAGAATAAATCTGTCTAGCATTTAATAGATATGGCTCTAAATGGAAAAAGTTCTTAGCCGAAGTGTGTAGTCCCTGGATCTCTGAAATAATTTGGAATCTAAGCAAAATGCTGACATTTGGGCTTGAGTCCAATATTAAGAGAGGACTGTTAAGGAAACTTGCATGTTCAGTTGTGCAATCAGGGCAGGATAGGAGATTATACAGTCTGATAAAATTTAAAAATATTTTACTTATCCCTTTTCTCAGTCAGCTTTGGACAAGCGGTAGAATCTCAAGGAACATATTTCTAGTAGATATGCAGCAAGAGAAGCAGTGATTTTAAGATCTTGGGGACACAGCTGGCAATACCAATTATGATCTGCCCAGTTGATGGAAGAGTGGAATCGGGCATGGGTTTCCATCCTACTGTAAAGAGTCATATACTGCATTTACTTTGCTTAGAACTTCTTATCCCTAGCAGAGACTAGTTCCAATGGAGTGGTGGTAGCACAGGGTTCAGCGTACAGCGTTGCTACACAGGCTTTGTTGCAGTGTGTTCAAAAGCTGTGTTTAATAAAATCCATCTGCCTACAATCTTGTCACCAGAGTCCCCTGCTGGACATACTAGAAAACTGCAGTAAGAAAGAAAACTGCTGAAGAAAACCACCCTTGGGGCATATTATGTGCTTATAAACTGATTTTCTTCAAGTATTCTAGTGGATTATATTAGGGTGATTTAGAGTGCTTTGTGCAGTACTGATGGCCTTGCCACGTACCGATCAGAGCGGCAGTGGGGACTGTGGCTGTAGGTGTGTATTGCAGTGTATTGCAGCCCGGGGGATTCCTTACCGTTGAGAAGCCATGTGATCTGAGGTACAGGTTCTCCTCCTACACAGCACTGCAGCACAAAGTCTTGCCCTTCACTCACGGTGCATCCTTTCAAGACACTGGAAAAGCACGGAGCAACCTCTTGAACCTTAGGCCCTTTAAAACCAAAATGAAAACAGTTCCTTTAACCCATACTGAAAAAATTGTCTTTACCACTTAGTGACTTTTTCTAGGTATGCTTAGGTGACGTGGCTGGGCTAACAGATTCGTCGCATGCAAATAAGTGAAAAAAAAAAATCAAAACTATGGTGAAATGTTTCATTGGGAAACAGAAATAATTTTGAGCAATGGACTGATATAAAGAAGGAGTTCTGTAATCTGCAAGACAGGCACTGACAGCCCTCAAGCTATATCTTAGGTGGCCGTTTTCTATGCCAGAATCAACCATTTGCAGCCAATCGCTAGAACTGCAGGCAACATATTACCAGAGATCTCAGTGCAAAGAACAGGAAAGATAATTCTTCTCTCCTCTTGTCTGTCTTCTCCCAGTCCCTCTCCCAAATTTCCCCTGAGTGGCAGTGAAACAAGGTGACTTAAGGATGCAGTTTACAGGTCTCTCATGAGACAGAAAGATAGTATCTTGGGCATCCTGGCACCTCAGGCACAGCAAATAAAGAAATGTTGCATAAACATGATCATAGCTCCATGACAAAACCTAAAACCAGGTGAAATTATTAGAATTGAGGACGGGATTTGCAAAGAGGGCCACAAATCTTTCAACCAGACCAGTAAGACAGTGCCTTCAAGCTCAAAATAATTTGTACTGGGAAGTGTACTTGAATTTAGCAGAATGCAATTCTTGTTCCTTAACTTTTCTTCTTATTGGCTTTACTGCACAGGATTGGTTTGTGCTCACAAAAACATTTCAGATCTGCAGTGTCCTACAGATATGCTAAACAACTCCAAAAGAACGGAATGTAGAACAACAATAAAATCTTTAGCAACCTCTATTAAATACAAGCATTAATAGAAAGCCTCAGTGGAGAACAGGTTTAGCTACACAAACAACAAAACCTAAAGGTCAGAATGGGAAACTGATGCAGAAAGTGGTTTCCCAGCCATCCCACACCACATTATTCACAGAGCTAGGAATCAGAATTAACTTGCATTGAGAAGCCGTAATACAAATTTTGTAGTCACCACCCACTGACAGCTTAGGAAAGCCCAGCTGCAGTTTTTAAAGTGCAGTGAACTTACTTCTGACAGTTAACAACCAGCTGGTGGAAGTCTGGCCTTTGGGGTTGAAAGCTGTACAGGTGTATGATCCACTGTCCCCCAACGAGGGCTTCTTTAACCATAGGCAATGAATTCCATCTTCTTCATATATTTGGACATCTTCTCCAGCTTTAATAGGTTCACCCTCTTTGAACCACTCCACATCTGGTTTTGGTTTCCCTGAAACTAGACAATCAGGTATTTGAATTTTTATCAACAGGTATTCCCCCTAGTGTAATTTCTTTCTTGGCTTTATGTAAACTAAGTATAATTTACACATACATAACTATATAAACCTTAATGAGCAACTAATAAACAAAATCACCTTCAAAAAAATGGTTTGATATTTCTGATCTTCCAGAACTCTTGGGCAGTCCATTTGTAAAATAAAAAATATTTAGTAACTTGAAAAACCCCAAGCACTTCTATCTGAATATTGTTCCTCTAAAAGACACAGACAAAATGGATGTGATGAGATATTAAAGGAGAAAGAAAGACATTTCTCCCCATTCCTTCCTACCCTGCTAAATTAGTTTCTAAGTGCACCTAGCAGTACCTTGCAATCGATGGTACCTACCACTGAGACTGTTTATTCTGGGGCTAGTCAGCCAGGAGAACAGAAGGCTTGGGGGGAATCTCATCAAGGTATATAAATATCTGAAGGGAGAGCATAAAGAAGATGGAGCCAGGCTCTTTTCAGTGATGTCCAGTGGCAGGACCAGAGGCAGTGAACACAAACTGAAACACAGGGAGTTCTGTCTGAACATAAACATTTTTTTACTGTGAGGGTTACTGAGTCTCCCTCCTGGAGATACTCAAAAGCCATTTTTACATAGTTCCTGGACAACCTCAGGTGAGTGTTGCGTGAGCAGGAGTGTTGAACCACATGACCTCCAGAGGTCCCTTCCAACTTCAAACATTCTGTTAGTCTGGGTATTCTTTTCCAGAGTAGGGTCCAAGTTTTGGCAAAGCAAGCAGCCTCCTAGGAGAGTAAACTTTCAGGGAGCAGAAGCAAAACAGCTGTGCCTTCACTGCCTGCTTTGCCTGTGTCAGAGCTCTGGAAAACCAGAGTTGGCTCCTAGTAGTGCTGTGGGAGGTCTGGCCTTCATGGGGCAGTTGCTAAGATGAGCAAAGAGGAGAGGTCAGGAAAGAAGGCCAGAAAAGGTCACCTATCCTATCCTTCACTTAATTTTAGCAAACAAGGCCCTTTGGGGCTTCCACCTAGCTGATGTTCCTTCCCAGCTCTCTCCATTTCATTAGAGCAAGTACTCAGCCTTGGAGGAAGATACAGACAGTAAAAGATGGCAGGGATATCCACAACAAGCATATATATTGCCGAAAACTCATCTGAATGGAGAAAACAGAAGGATAGGGGAGTGACTTAGCAAGAAGAGGAACCCTTAGCTAGAAACAGGGCCACACCTGATACAAGTGACTGGAAACAGGAAAACAAGGAATTCCTTCTTTTTGGAAAAAGGAAAAAAAAAAAAAAGCAGTCCCTAAATCCAGCTCCAAATTAATAAAAAATTTGGAAGGGTGCAGATTACCATTACACCTACATATGGTGTAATGGTAATCTGCAACATATGGGGCAAAAATTGGAATGCTGATTGGGAAGCAGGAAATGTCCTTATCCTGTGAATTTTCACCACTAGAAACGAGAAGTTATTATTCAGAAAAGGTTCTCTTTCCTGCTCAGCAGAGAAAGAGCACATCGAAACCCACAGACAATTAGTAAAGAACAGAGGAGTTGGGAGAACCTCCAAAAGCTGGGGAAAAACTAATAATCAAGCCCTGAAGTGTCAAAGAACTTGGATGCTTTGTAGTAACCATGCAAATAGCCCGGCAGCTAGAAGCCTCTTTAAGAGTGTAAGGGCATTTCCATTGTCCATTGCAACCAGAAAGCAGAGGTGCCTGTGACAGCAACCCTAGTCACCCTTTGTGGAGAGGATTCTCAGGAAAGATTGTTTCTCGGATAACTTATAAAAGTGCACTAGGGACATTCCACTGTAACTTCCCTAAAAACACATTGCCTTTGCATATAAGAGTTTGTCCAAAGCCAGGTATTCGCTGGCTTCAATAAGAACGGAATGATCTCCTTGGTCTGTGTACCATAGGAACTACATTTCCCTACCAGACATGTTCATGAATTAGTTAAACCTTGCAAAGCTTTTGAGATCCTCTGATGGAAATCAATCCATGTTCTTAGTACTAATACACCTGAAAAAAACCCAAACCTATTCAAAAGGTGCCAGGATCTTTGGAATATTTTTTCCCAGCCTTACTCTCTGGGCTTGTGATATAAATTGTATTCTTTACTCATGAGGCAAGCACTACCAAGAAATGAAATAAATTACCATGGGGTTTTTTTTTATTTTTCTTCCTCCAGAGACATAAAAACCAATTTCTCTCTCACTTGTGGGAACACTTTAAAGTGTGAATGTTGTTTTAAAAAAATAGCAGAAAATGCTTCAAAATTATTTTCTACTAAAATTGTAATAATAATAAAAAAAAAAAGACAAGTGTTCCAAATCTACTCCCTGGATTCAGCAAAATGCAGCTCTCATTACTCTTCTGAGAGGTTAAAACCCGGTCAAATTCTGCAAAGCAAACTCTAAACCTCCCTTTTAATTCTGACTTTATCATTCCAGCTGCTAAGAAGCACTCAGCACTGGGTCGACCAAATATGAGGGGTAAAAGTAGATGCCGCAAGGGAAATGCAGTGACTGATTGTAGTTTCTTATCTGATCATTTTTTTGGCTCAAGGGCAATATAACTAATCACAGTTCTGGAAAGCTTACCATCCATTTTCTCTCTTGCACCTTCGTATCAGAGGCCACAAAACTACCACCTACAAGGAGTAGCATTGATTCCATCTGGGGAAACCTCAAATGAGAGAAGGGATAGATGCTACGGTATGGAATGATTTGAAATGATTGAGAAGAGTATGGTGGAAAACAGATGAGATTCTGCATCTGTTTCAAAAATTATTTAGGAGGAGGGCAACTCGCAATGAAGAAGGAATTACTTCCCCACTTCTACACACAGAAGAACCCAACTAACCCCAGGGCTCTGATAACTTTCATCCCTTTACCTTTGCTCTTGAATTTAATCTCCTGGCCTTCTGATGCTTCCAGGCTCTGTGGACGGCTCTCAAACTGAGGGGGAATTCCTAGAGGCTCCCTCTTCTCCTCCATTACAGCCTTCCGGGCTCCAGATCTGTTTTCTGCTTCTCTACTTCTTGGACTGACTTGCCCTGTGAGAGTTGGGGTTTGCTGAGTGGACAGCAGGGGCTGCACAGACCTTTTCCTGTCTTCACCTGGTCCGATGAAAGTGGCCTGGGGTTCTGCCTTTGGTTCTGGTTGCAGTCTGACAGCTTGTAGTGTGATGGTGCTTGAAGTTTTCTGCAAAACCTGGGATCCCTTTTTTCCTTCTTTAGGTTCTTGAGGAGACACTGCATTGGATTCTTGGTGCTGTCCCTGCTTAATGTCTTTGGCTTCTCTGGAGAAGTAAAAGGTCTCTTTTTTTGCTGACACCCTGTCTTTGGTTTCAACCATGAATTCAGTGTTGTTGGATTTCAGCTCTTTAGCAATCCCATTGCTAGTTGCCTGTTTGAATTCTGAATTTTCAACAGCTTTGATGGTAAGTGTTGTTGGTTTTGATGGCATGCTGAAGGAAAATGATAAGTTTACAGATACATGACCCAGCATAAAGACTAATTATTATTATCAGCAATGATATAAATGCACAAGCCCTTAGCAAGAAGGTGAACTAATTAGCCCTTAGTTTCCTTCACACAAATTAAGAACATGGATGGAAGAGGTAAAGTGAAAAGCTTCATTAAATGTGATCATTTGCTCAGACACTGTCTCAACTGAGGAGTTTCTGGCTACAAATCCACTGCTCAGGTTCTAACAAGTTTTGTGAGTCAAACACTAACCTTGCTTACACTGCTTTAGATAGCAGTTACATGAGACCCTGGGATGACCAGGGTGCAACACTACTCTATGCTTTAATAAATTGAGGCTGTGTATAATTATAGCTCAAAACACCACATAAAACAGTTCCCTAAAGGAAAAAGAAAATGTAAATTGTGCAGTGAATTTACAATTTCTAATTATGGTGTTTTGTAATTTAGGTGATTTCAAAAGAGGACTGATCAGGAAACTTGACAAAAGCCTAGGACAGGAAGAGGGGGTGTTGTCAAAAATAATAATCAATTGACTGGACATAACAATTTCAGCTATGGTTTTATTAGGAAGAGTTCCCCAGAATTATGATGGATCTGCTGCTCAGTACTTTGAGGGCAAAAGAGTAGCTGACTAACTGGGGACATGAATCCAAGTTTCCCTCATTGAAGTTGGCTGCCCTGACCACTAAGCTAATACCTGTAGAGCACTGCGTGTCTCACACTTTCACAGTATTATTCCAAGTCAGAATTGGAACATATTTGAAATATGGGAAGTAATTTCTAGCCCAGCTCTGTTTTGCAATCCTTAGGGCCACTGGCTTATTCTCTCAGGGAGATTCAGGATATTTATTGTGGTACTTTCTTCAGCCAGAGTTAAATGTATTAGAGAAATAATGCCTGTGAGATTTGCAGTTACAACTGTAAGATTTTTACATTTTACAAAGTATCTATTTTCCTGTGAATAAATGATGGAGGAGGCAAAACTACTCTAGAGAACGGGGAGTTCTGGCTGTAGAGCTGCACAGCTGCATGTACCCTAAACTTATTTAAAGAATGTTCCTAAAAGTCACACAGACCTGAAAAACATGGTAGCACAGCATTTTCAGATCCAATTTGCAGTGGCCATGGAGTTAGGAAAATGTAAACATGCCATTTTGACATCCTATCCAGGCCACAGATTAAACACCTTGAAGACTATAAAGCAACTGTCCTTCATGAAAGGGCCTTACATAGTCAGAGCATTTCATTCCGGCATTTTCTATTAATGAAGAAAAGCCATTTTACAAAATTATTTTTTAAAAAAATATAGTAAATTAAGTTTTAACATCTTGACAAATCCCTAAAATATGAAATTTTTTGTTTCTTGTTACTTTACCCATAGTTTCGTATGTGTTTTCAGGCAATAGGAAAGACCATGGCCATACTATGTTTGGTTTATGACAGCAAAGAACAAGCAGGTCAGTACTGATGATGCACTTTACAGCTTTGGGACAACACTGACAAGATAAATACAGGTTTTTGACTCCAAAAAGGAAGTTCGACCAACTGGTACAGAGTATAATTTCTCCTCATATAGATTTTGTTCAGATTATATAATTATTTGGCTACACGGGAAGCCATCTAAATTTTGTTTTCCTGAGCCAGACTAGAACTCTCTACTTCATAGTGTTGCCACCAGTTCCACCTACTATTTCACAGGAGTCTACCAGGACAGCTGAATTTGGCAGTAAGAAAGAATCTCATTCCAAGTGAACATTTTCTAACTTCCAAATACAGACTGACCCAAAAAGATCTATCACTGAGTGAGAAAGGCTCACACAATAAATGTCAAAATGAGTGTACTGCATTTAATATTCTGACAAAGTACTCCAATAAAAACATACCATGGTGGCTGAGTGTATGGCTCAGTCTTATCTGGACCTGAAATAAAAACAAGAAAACCCAGGTAATTTACATATACAATACTGTACACACTTCCATAAATTTGAAAGATTTTAAGCAAAGAATATACTTAAGAACCTTCACTCTTCATACTTTCAATCCATTGAAGTCAAGATTGACTATCACCACATCTGAAATTTGGTAAGGACAACAGCAAGCTGCTCAGCTGAAACACAAAGAGGTCTTGGTCCACTTTGAGATGTTGCTGGGTCAACTAATTTTTCAAGTCCCTTGAGAACTAAAGGTTCTGTGAGCCCCAAAGGCTCCTTGTTGGGGGAAAAAAGAAAGGAAGAAATCACAACTGGGAGGCAGCTCATCAAATCTTATGGGAACTCCACAGAGCTTGTAGAAGTGGAGAAAGACAAAGCATCAGTACTAGACCGGAGCATGGCCACAGGGAGACTACAGCTGTTCTCTGGCTAAAACACAAAACCAAACTAACAGTAGTAAAAAATCCCCAAAACTGGGCCCACCTGTAAACTTTTACCATCTCATTTACCGTGTAGCGAGTATTATCATGTATTACCATATTTAACATGAATAACACAAGAGCTAAAATATTGCATTTCTTCACTTTGCAACACCACCACGATATCCGGGAACATGGCTGAGCTGTACTGACTGGCCAGGGAACCTCATCAGCTGCTTTGATATAACTGAGCACATATTTGGCCATAGTTGGTCTCTTAGTTCATATGTATGTAATCCTCCATGCATTCTTCCAAACCTTGACAGTATTTCTTTGTCTTGGGGGCAAAATGAGATAATAAATAGTTGGGAGGAGAGAAATACCACTCCAGATCAAGTACCAACCACATCTCTCCATTTTTCAGATCAAAGTTGCATCTACATCATTGCCAGCTGTGAGACTAGAAGCTACAGTAGAAAGACATGTGATAATGAATTTGCAAGATAATGATTTTTTGCAAGTCGTCAACAAATACTCCATAAAAATGCTTTCAGAGTCCTTGCCTTAGGGGAAAACCAAAACCATGTGATGGATGATATCCTGATTTCCACTGTGTTTTGCAAAATCCACATCTAAATGCTTGGACTTGCCGCACCATTTAGAGTGACCAAAAGAATCTATTTACATGCACACAGAAGTTGCAGTGAGAGAGGGAAATAACCCGTTGACCTCACTTCAATAAACCTGTCAATAAACAGTAACAGAAATTCTTCACATAAAAATTAAAGCTGAAAAGAGACTGGATAAATGCAGAAAAGAAAGCTGAATAACTACTGGTTGCAGACAAGACAATACCATGCAAGTCTGTCTATTAAAAGAACATTTTCCCCTTCCCTCTCCACTTTCCACTACAGGAACTTGAGGAAAAAACGTAGCTCTTGGAACAAGATTATCTATATAGGAAATTGCATGGATTTGAAAGAAAATGTAGCAATTCTGAGCCACCTGATTGTCTGCTAGCATCTTGCAGCAACTCCTATGACCTGATTTAATTGATAATGAAAGAATTAGGTATTATATATTGTGGTTAGGTAAGTGGAATCATCCGGTTAGTCAAGTACATTGCAAGGGAGTGCCCTTTTTACTGACCTGTACTAATCCAAGAAAGAATGCCCGCATTATTCAGAGATGTGGTCAGCATCTGAAGCAAACATACACCACGACTGACTTTGTGACCCCAGTTCCGCACCAGCTCTCGAGGCAGATGTACCCATTGCACAGCAGAAAGCTCACCGCTTCAGGGAGAGCAAGTACGGATCAAGTTTCGTGTTTTAAAAAAAAGGGCTTATTGAACAAAATGGCCCTTTCTATAAAACATCAGTTGAATAGGCAACCTGTAGAAGCTCCTTCTACAATGGCTTCATCAGATTGGAACTTACAGATAAAAGGTGCAGCTTTAAATGGTGAAGGCTACTTGTAGTTCTGAGGATCAAAATGTAAATCCTCTTGTTACTTATATTCTTCATATCTTACAGAGTAACAACATTGATGTGAACTTAAAAATCTTGGATCAAAAAATTCACTGCTGGGCGTGTACGTAACCCAGGGATCTTATGACTGCAGCTGAAGCCAGCAGCTGTTGATTTAATTATTTAATTGGGTCCAGTGACTACTTGCCCACCGACTAACAAAAATCCTCTTTAGTGTGGTTGCTGAAGGCTGTGTGATTTTGAGGCTGCTGCACAGGGCACCCTAAGAAGCATCAAACTACAAAATGAACATATATGGTAATGCATATATGGAAAAGAACATCCTAAATTATTTATACAAAGATATTTATTTCCTTTAACAGCAGGGAAATAGGGCAGGGTTGGGAGCTGAGAACACTGAATTTTAATCTCATTAAGCTGTGGTTTTTTTACTCTCTTACAGTTTAGTGTTATGCTCCTTTACTTTACTTTCCTGGTTCTACAAATAGAGATACAATTTTTTTTCCCAAAAAGGAGCGGTATAAACGTGCATCTGGTGTTGGTACTCAACAAATACAAAATTAATTACTGATTATAATGACAAGTGAAAGGTTTACATTTGGTGAAATTAAAATCTGTGTTCAAACCATATGGAGGTCAAAATCACAGCAAAAGTGAAAAGTTGGTTTTAAAGCAAGTTGCAACAAAGCATTTGGATAGCCTTTTCCTCATTAAACTGCCACAATGTTTTCAGCTGTAGCATGCTCCAAGCTATCATTTATGCATCATTTAATGAAGAGAGAGAAAGATAATGGGGAAAAGCGACTACTTATACTAAGAACACAACTAAAGATTTTAAAGGAATGTCTATAGTTCAGTTGTGCTCTCTTCTGTGTAAAATCTTTGCTGTACCTTGAACGGTGAGCTCTGCAGACACAGATGCCTTCCCAGCGCTGTTTACCACTGTGCACGTGTAAATTCCTGAATCAGTGAGCTGAGCATTTTGGATTTCCAAGAACTGGATGCCTGTTTTCTCAAACATGTTGAAACGCTCATTTTGCTGCAGCTGAACATCACCCTGCAAATATCACAAGACACCATGAGACAGCTAGCTATCACAGAATCACAGAATCACCATGATTGGAAGGGACCTCTGAGATCATTGAGTCGATAGGAGAAGAAATTTTTTGGGAAAACATCAGGTCAAAAATGCCTTTCTCCTATCTTTTAGCCAAATTCCTTCTATCAATAATACTCAGATGGTATAAACAAAAAACTATGTCCAAAAGTTATATAATTCATATATACATATATAATCTGCAGGAGGCTGTTTTCCCCTGCATTTTGCCACCCACTCATCTCGGTTTGGATTTGGCTTTGCATGATTTACTATATCCATATTCCTAGAAAAAATTATTTTCACTGTATGTGGGCTCAAACGAGTTTTCTGTTCATATTTGTTCCAGGAAGACAAACATCACACTTTCAAGCAAAAGCTTTCAAGTAGAGTAAATAGTTCTCTAATCCTCAATAGCTCCTTTATGCTGCATTACTTCAGGAATTCGAAAAAATATTAGAATATTAGATTATCAGAATGACAAATTTTGTTTTTAAATTCTATGAAATAATTGACCAACACATCACTTGTGAGCAAATCAGTGCTTCTGCTCCAGCACCAGCCATTAAAGAGGACTCCCTTGCTGTCAGGCACCACAGCTTTTCCTACCCTAAATTAAGGAAGAGAAAGTGTACAAATCTACAATCTGTAGGGCTTTGGTCAGTAAACATTATGGAAACTACCATGTTTTCAGATGCTGTCATTCCTGAAGCCTCTACAAACTCACTAATATCTGGGTGTTTTAAGTCCTATTTGAATTAAAAACAAGCTAGTTTTCATGACAGGGGTTTGGCAGGGATACAGTAGGAGTTCTGTTCTTTGCAACTTAACAAATAAGAAAAGAGGAAAGAAAACAATAAGCAGAGTAAAACATTTACACAAAAGCTTATTCATTTGCATTATTCAATTGTAATTGTTTATAAAGCTTCCATGCTGCATGGAAGGTGGTTGTGTGTTGGCTCTGCACTAGCCAGATGTGGTCCAGGAACCATGTAAATTCATTTCCACGATGCTGAAATATCTACCACTCAGTGCTTGGTGCTTCCGGACATGACCAGAAGCGTTGTGGGCCTGAGCTTGTTTGCAGCCAGCCAAAGCACACACCTGTTCATGATTCATTCATGATTACCTGTTCATCCATGCATTGTGAGCAGGGGGCAAAAAACATGCTTCACAACAACAACCTGCTGATAAAACTCTGATAAAGAGCAACAACACATTTATACTTTACAGAATATATGAATTATTGAAAGACAGCTCAAAATAGGTGCTCATATAACATCATGAGCCTAAAGAAAACCAATTTAACCAAAAGTGATGGGTTGAGGCCAAGTTCAGGAGAGTGGACTGGGTGTCTGCGGACCAGCAATGGTATGACAGCTGAACCTCTGAACAGCACACCTGTGGTATTTTACAGAATAATGTATGCAGAACTGAAAGTATCAAAATACGATTTTTAAGGACATAAACATGAACAGAACTCATGGAGCTGCTAATAACAAGAACTTTGCATACTTCATTCATGGGATTAGACAGTGAATGCCAGTTTATAGAATAATACGTTATAGAAGTTGATAATCAATCGCAAAATACAACCTCTAACAAACTGCAAAAACACGTATGAGGAAGTACCAAAGCGCAGATCCAAGGTGCTGGATTGCTAGTCCCTACTCGCTGTTTGCCACACAGCCCTGAATAAAGAGAACTGAATGACAAATCCTGTTTTGCACTGAGTTGCACAACTGGAAAACCTGAGGGAGCGGTGGGACAGGACGCAGGCTGCTGTGGAGCAGCTCCATTGCAGACTGTTGTGAGAGCCAGCAGGCTCCAAAGAACTGACGGCAGCTGGAGGGAGAAGCAGACTCTAGTTGGAGCTGCCAACTGAAGGGAATGTCTTAGTGAGTGCTTCCATAGCAAGAGGCTGTTTCTTTTCTGAGATGCACCCTGGCATTCTTGTATTACAAACAACAAGGATAAGTTTGGAATAAAGCAGATAATGACTTGGAAGCATTCCTCGGCTCTATGAGCAGTTTTCTGGGTTTCTTTGTGGTTTTTTCTCCCCAGCCCCCAAACCTGGAGACTCCAGAATAAAATAAAAGCTCAGAGAAAAGCTTTTTTTTTTCCCCACTATACATAAGGCAAATGTCTGCTAAAAGCTGAAGGGGAGCAGGATGCCAACAGAACATTCATATATTTGGTTTTCCAAATTAAAGAAAGTTATTTTAATTCTCTATAATACAAACAGTTTCAGTAAAAGTGGCCTAATCTATGTAATATTTAATTATCACCTGAATGCTCTCTCCTTACTAACAAAAAAAAAAGGCATTTGGAGATCTTGTCTATGCCCAAAGGGGGCACTAAGACTTAAGTCTTCAATGTCTTTTTATAGTCTAATGAATTTTAAATATTGCTCATTTATAAAGCTTTTTTCATTAAACGACAGATGCTTACAATTCCCAGGTTTAACGCAGATGTGAATTTGACAGCTCAGGTCTCCTTTATTTTATGTCAGACACTTTTCTGCTGCCACTGTCTCATCAGAAGTCAGACTGAAACAGTTGAACTGTTGCTTATCTGCTTTGGATTTTTATTTCTTTTTAATTTGCAAAAAGAAATTGTATATGCCAAACCCCAATCATATCTGTTAATTCCTAAACAGTTAATTTTCATCTCAATTCAATTTCATTGCTTTACAAACATCATCTTCATTCTAATGTATGGGTAAAACCCAATGTGAGTGGTACAAAAAAGGTAGTTTATGACTGAGACGCTGCCATGGGTCTTGGGAAATACAGCTGTAATTTTCACAGCTGTCAGAGACTCCTCGATAACCACAGTCAAAGCATTAAATCCCTGCGGACCTTCTCTATAAAACAGAGATTATGATAATATTCACTTTTCCCATCCTTTTTCTGTTTCTCTTATCTAGTTAGTAAAATCTTTGGGCAAGCATGTCCTATACTCGCTATTTTCATAACGGAACCTGGATCTTGTTTGGTGCTTTCAGATTATATTTTTGTACAAATATTTTCAACAATGAGACAGATAAAGAAGAAGTTTATACTGAGAAGGAAACCTATTACATTTTGTGAGTTTATTCAGCATAAATATGAGGGAGAACATGGCTCTCCTTGTATGTGAATTCTCACCATGATAATTTGCAGTGTCAAGTGCATTTCATCCTTTCAAGTCAGCACATTTCAAAAGAGCAAGAAAACATTAATTTTTTGGGAAATCATACCTTAAACCAAGTTACTTGAGGCTGAGGTCGTCCTGTTATTTTACATGAGAATTTGCCTGTTTGGCCTTCACGCACAACAACTCTATTGGGTTTTGTAGCAAACTTGGGTGGACTCTCTCCCCAGATGCTTGGCCTATTCTCCACAGATGGAACAGCAAGTCTTCCCCTAGAAAGACAATCAACATTCAGGTTTTACAGAAGAACTGAAAGCTGTTGTGGTTAGAGCGCACTTCAGAAAGCATTTGAGACCAGTGGTTTGCCAACAAGGGTATAGAATTGGTGGTAAACGAGACTGTAACACAATATTTTTTTTGGCCAATGGAAAAAATGGAAATGCTGGTGATGACTGCTCTTGACTCCTCATGCAACTGAATAGCATGATGCTACATACCCTCATCCAGCATAACCCAGATAACAGAACTCGGGGACAATTTTAGTTGCTGATGAGCAGAGCTGGGCAAACAAATGATGGGAAACACTGCATGCGTTTAGTTTTTTCCAGTTTCTGTTTCTTAATTGTCTCCTAATAGATTATTTGTGCATACTTGTTCGCTGTTCACAGATCTTTATTGTGCAATTTATTTTGACACTGAGTGCAATGACATAGCAATTTCTGATTTATGAATCAGCAACTTGTTTTTGCAACATTTCTGACATGTCCTGGTAAAGATTTTTGGTTTGGGGAAGGCTTTTGTTTGGAATCGCATTCACTACAATGTTTGCAAACCAAAGTACACCCATCCCAGGTGAATGTCTACAAAGTGTAAGTGCCCAGCTCTACTTAAAAGGATAGCACAGCTGGGAAATGACACATGGAATGAAACTAGAGTGACATCAGTGATTACAGTCCAAAACCCTCAGTTACACAGCCGTAAAACATAGAACACCAAGCAGCATTATAGCAAGAAAAAGAAAAAAAAAAAAGTTGCAAATTCAGGTCTGTTAATGTCAAAGGGAACACACACTCTTGTCTCTGAAGCCCTGGTACAACGACGACACACATTAGCAGATGGCAGATGGTGATTTTTTATTTATTTTGTTTTAACCTTTAATTTCAAGCAAACTGAACCATTTTCAAGGCCGCCTTTTCCAGATGGCCTTTTACTACATGCAAGTAAAATGTGTTAATACCTCACCATTTCTACCCGGTGTCAGATACTAACAGAGACCGCATCGCCTTAGTCCAAGGTGCTGCCAAGACATGATGGTTGCCATATAGGCAGCTCGAGGTTTCTAAGTAAGAGACAATACCTTAGTGAAAGGACAAGAGGACCAGCAAAAAGTCTTGTGAGAGAAAGGTGACTGCAATTAGCTATAATGGAAAACACTTCATCATACAATTAAATATCTGACAGCTTCTAATGTCATCTTCCTCATGCTACTACTAAAGCAGAGCATAAATGTGTATTAAGAAAGTTTTTAGTGACCATCTTTACGTGGTGTTTCTATATTTACATATCCATACACTCATACTAACACATTATAAGAAAATCAACTACTAGCTAGCCTGCACCTTTATGGCTGTTTCCTAGACGTACACAATAAAAGCAAACGTGTATTTTTCTTTTTCCTCCTGCCTGATTATATAAGGTATAAACTTTCCATACCATAAAATTATTAATACTGTACAGGAGTAAAACACATGAGAATGAAAAATGAGGACAACCATTCTACCTGAGTGCAATGCAATGGATTAGGATAGTGCTTTGCAAAGGCTGAATGTATAACAAAACCTAACAGCAACCGTGACTGTCTTTTCTTGCTTTGATTATTTAGCATGTGTGTATTTCTGTAGCACATTTGCAATACAGACGTTATCATGTAAAAGCTTTCTTGATTACTCAGTTTCATTTACTATTTTCACTGTTGTAATCTCAGCTAATTTTAAAGTTCAAACTATTTGTATTCTGATCACTAACATGATCAGGAGTGTGTATTTTTGTCTTCATCCAATGCGACTTAGTCCCAAGGAATCAAAAAATAACTCCACTTAAATACAAGCTACATATAAAGAAATGAATTCAGCTGTTGGAAGAATTAGGCCTAGGGCTTTTAAAACAGTGGCATTCACTTAATTGTAAATGCTTAGTGATGTACAGAAAGTAAATGACAGCAAGAAGGCTGCTCTGTGTGCCAGCTCAGATCACCCCATCGACCCATTCTTGCTAATGGTTACTCCAAACCATTCTTGCTAGCAGTTACTCCAAACTGGAACGATTCTTTCTTCTGGACCACAGTTTACTAACTGTGTCACTTGGAAATACTTTAATTATACATGAGAGAATGCTGATTTCCGTTGCTTTTATTTCTTAATGATGGCTCTTAAAGCAGTATTTGCTCTGGCTTTAGAAGAAGACTGTCAGGTCTTGGAAGGTGTGGGGAAGGATTTCTGAATATCAGAGAGTAGAGAGAAGACGCCGCAATATTGCAGCAGAGGAATGTGCCATGTTGCTGATACCAGGAGAATGTTCTGTTTTCAGCCAGATTAATTCCTGTTGGTAGGAGGGAGCAATAGCCGTATCTACTTCAGCCATTTTACTAACACAGCAGCTCTCATAGTAGCTATTCTGCTTGGGAAGAATGGAGATTTGGACTCAGAGCGTTTGAGTTCACAAACATTGAAGTGTTTGTTTTCAGATGTTGCTTTAACTGGCACTGCCCTGCTGCTGAGAGCCCAGGCATTCTTGCTGTCCCCGCCTCACAGGCATGAGAAATCATGCCCAGCAGATACTCTATTCCAATGCAATGCTGTGGAGAACTGAGTCATTAGCCATCAGGCTTTGCTTTCCTCCGTTACCTCTGATTCTTGCACAGGTAAGGAGCCTTGGGAATACATTTCCAGTGAGGAAATACTGGAACTGGAGAACTAGACTAGAATATAACCCTTTTTGACTGGGTGACTGGGCGACTTTTCACCCTCAAAGTGAATCAGAGCTAAAGACAAGAAGCAAGAGGCACTTAAAATGGGGAGAACTGGTTATTCTTTAGCAAGAGTTATTTCACTTCTTTTCCTGCATGTTTGGGTGTCTGTTAAACAATATGAAAGTCAGTGGACTCCTTACCCAGGGGTTTTGGCACTGGATGGCAGGCTGTATTTCTTCAAGGAGTTTCCTGTAAGGATAAAACAGGAAGAGAGGAGTTTTGTCAAGACCATTGGGAATTACAGATACTGAAGACTATGTAAAATATGCATTTCTCCAGGTTTTACATAAAGGAGGAATGCAACACCTGCAGTATAAGGTTATGTCATCTGTACTCCAAAGTCAGGCTCTCCAATTTCAAAAACAAGTTTTAGCAGACTTACCTTCTAATCCCTAGCCTCAGTAGTAACAAAACTGCAGATTATTCATGCAAAAATATTTTTAAACAAGTGAATGAAACACGGTGTCTGATTTCTATAGTGCAGCACTAATTCAAATTAAGATATCAAAAAATGGGTTTTGGGCTGACTTTACTTGGCTTGGGTTTTAGTCCTGTGCTAGCCCAGACTACCTTTTCTGTAAAAGGATTGTTTATGAAGCTCAGTAGTTCATCACGTTTGCTGGGGTGAGCAACAGGGAGATGTGTGCTGAGTCGTGTAAGCTCAGCGCCATCTACTGCACACAGCACTCCTGGGAGCTTTGGCACATTAAAAAAAAGGGTAAGTGACCTGGGTTAGATCCTGAGTGGAAGCAGGAAACGAACAGCTCTGATGGCTGTGAAAAAAATTTGTTCTAGAGACTCATAAGAATCTATATTACTGCCAGATTGGACAGCCATGGAGGATTATGAGCCACAGAGCCATGGAAAGATGAGATTGTGTTTCAGGCACTCATTTTTTCAGGGAGCAGTCAGCCCCACTTAGACATCTTGCCTGAGAACAGAAAAAAACCTGCCCTTTGCAATCTCAGTGCATGGGTGAATTTTTAGAATAAGGAATTAGAATTTTTTAGAACAAAGATTTTTAGACTAAAGACCATAAATACTTAAACTCTAAGAAATTCAGTCATTGGCTACTGCCACGAAATTGCTTTTAAACCGCAGCAAAGCCCAGGTTAGAAAATCTGATATAAAAACAGCTTTAAAAAAATCCTCCATCTCCATGCAAGTTGTCACAACTTAAAACTTGTTGGAAAAAAAGACTTTGCATGATTTTTACAACAGAAGGCAGTAAAAATCATGCCAGACCTATGCATTTTTCAGTATGTACTCTAAGCATATCTGTTAGAGATTTTGACACTGAATAAACCCTAATGCTGATTGTTTCAGGACTGCTACAGATTTTTGCTTTGCTTCAAGAATTCAACACAAAGTTGTGACCTGAGGAGCTCTGACATTCAACAGATCTTTGACATGACCAAATTGCGAAGAGAGAAGTAGTACAATTGATTTCCAACCTTCCCTGGCTTTGTGTCACTCTTTGCATTTTAAATTCGGCAGTTTGCAGCTATCTAATATGCAGATGTTCTCTTAAAAGTTCCTGGGTTTGATCTTGGCTGTTTCCTGTGTGACATTAAGCATGCAATTACAACCAGGCGTTCATCTTAGCAAATGGAAGCATGGATGGAGATCTCCAGAAACCCATCGCCTCAGTGTGCCTGTTTGACAGGCTGTGAAGCAACCAAGATCGCCACCATTTTAACTGTCTGAGAGAAAATGCTGCTTTTCCAGGCCTTTGTTTCTGTCCTGAGTGGTGGCTTCCATGAAAATGCCAATTTACAGCAAAGTCTTTAAAACTAGGTCTTTTGTTACCTAAGCATCACCATACACATCTGAAACTGAATGCACACTTTTTCAAGCTATAGACATGTGGTTTATGTCTTAAACTGTGAAATGCAACTACCTCTCATACCAGTGAGAAAGCACGTGTGTACAGTTGTGATTTTAAACAGACAATTTAACATCTCTTGTTCATTGAATTAAACTCTATAATCATCACGACAACAGTATAACTATCCTCTTACCTTCCACTGTCAGTTCCACTGTCACTTGACGAACCCCACCATCATTTGCAGCCTCGCAGGTGTATTTGCCACCATCACTTTCCTGTACACCTTTGATTACCAAGCTGAATATCCCTCGAATGCTGCGGTCCACGATATAATGGTCTCCCTCTGGGACAGGATGCCCATTCCTGTACCACGTGATCTGAGGCTCGGGGTAGCCTCTGACCTGGAAAGATGTGAGAGAGAGTGGAGAAAGAAGGCAAACAGAACAGATGATGGTATTAGGAAGAAATGTTGGACATTTAGCAATGCAGTGGAAAGTTCTTGACACAGGAGCTGTTAAACACATACTCTTTGCAAGCCAAATGGCAGAACATAATAAAATGAAAAAAGCTCTTGGATAAGTCAAATTGCTAAAATCATAAGACTAGTCAGGCAGACAGATACCAACACAGAAAAGTTTCCCACTATAATGGTTTACCTGCAGAAGTACAGTGATGGTGCCAATGAAGAATTCTGATGCCTGGGTCCCCATTGTTGGGACACTCAAGGGCAGCAGTGCTACTATACCACTAAGTAAGCAAGACTGCAAAGTATCCAGACCAAAAATTTCTAGCATGGTTGCCAAGAATTGGTCTTACATTGTAAATCTGTGTAGAGCCATCTCGTTTTCAAATGTGCTGAGATATAGTAGCTCCTGACAATATACAGGCAAGAAATGCAGACACATACCAAGTTTTGTCTTGATCTTGAAAAGCAGAAGATAAGGGTATAATGTGAGAAAGTGTCATTAAAGGTCATTCTCATGTTATATTGGTAGGGGGACTATAAAGACCTAGAGGTATTCACACAAACACACTGCTTAAAAGGCTTTGTGGTCTACTGGTAGCTCAAAGAGGATTTTTCAACAAAATGAACCAGTCCTGTGCTCTTTAAATAACAACCATATTAATATATGCTTGCCTGCTGTGACATTAATGATACCTTCAGATTTGCAGGCAGATTCTCAGTTGGTACAACTGAGAATGGAGTTATTGGTTTCAATTGAGCTGTTGAAACCTGCTGAGGATCTGTGTCTTTCATAAGAAAATGGGAAAACAGACATACACCAGTTTCCACCAAAGAATTAACTCTTCAGACAAAGGTTCTTCCTCTGCTTTATGAGAGATGCCGTCTTCTTTGAAGGTTGCTTTAGTATGTGTTAACTGTTAGCACACCTCCCCAGTCATCGTAACGACTCCTAATTACAGTATTTCCCCCTTCTTTCCTATTCCCCCACTCCGATATGTTAGCTCTCCATCTTCGATGCTTTGATCCTTTGCCTACATGTCATGAAGTAACTGAGTGGATCAAGATGAGCTGGGATGAGTAATAGTTGTGGCTGTGTTTGCTCACTGGGAGAGAAGCAATGTTGCATTTTGAACTACATTATCAAATCTTGGCAACTGAACAGGAAGTCCCTTCAACCTCCAGGTGGGCAAAATATTGATGATCTGTCTTTATTTGAAGAAGGCTCGGTTGGGGCTTGTGCAAGTTCCAATTCTCCTCTCAGTTTCCAATCTGCATTTCAGCTCTTCTTTCTTCTGACTGCACAGCACTTACTTTCCAAATTACAATCTTTAGCCAACCAACCTTACCCATTCCTAGGTTCTCTTCTTTCAAAACCTTTCATTTTTAGCTCAGTCCCACCTCACTCCAGCTGGGTTTCTCATCTGTTGGAGCTTAACCTACGGCTGTCAGAAATTTTTCTCTTTCCTTTAATTCCTTGGGTATCAGTTCAAACAAATTAATTTTGCCAGTGATGTGGTGACCCCTTCTTCCTGGCACTATTTACTTAATAGGACATTAATGTTTGCCAAGAACACGAATTTGCTGAATAAGCTGGAGAAACTTTCCAGTTCTGATACAAACTTCTCAAGTTCTTTCTGAGTCTATCTTTACCTAAGAGCCATATTCTATAGAGAATACATTGTGGGATCCTGCACGATGAGGAGTTGATTGCTGTTTAAAAATACCACTGAATCTTTCTAAAGCTCTCTGTGGCCATGCCTTTTCTTTCCTGTGCTTTCTGAAAAACAGCAGCTCCCACTCAACTACGCCCCCTAACACTACTCCAGCACGTTGGTTTAGTGCTCACTCAGAGGGCAGGCTCCCAGCAATATCTTTCTCAGCACATCTCATTTTCAGAAAAAGGGAGTTGTGAAGCATGAACATGAGATTTTTAGAGTAGTCTAACTCTTGTTAGTTGATAAAGTGCTTACTGGTATAGAAACTGACTTGTACCAAACAACGCTTTACTCAATACTAACTTGTCCATGCCTTCCTGCCTATCTTTTCATTTTAGGTTAAGAAACCAATGGAGAGATTAATGACTTACCCAAAGCCAGAGAGTAGATTAGAATAGACTTTCTACCTCTCATTCTTGCTTCACTGGGTATTAAGATTTCCTTGAATTCGAAATATTTGAAGCAAAAGGGCTTTGAAACTGCTATTTCAAGTAAAATAATACAATAAAATGACAGAGTAGCACTTGCCTGGTATGAAGAAAGAACCACCTTTTCAGTGCATTACATTGCAACCTCTTTACTAACAATAGTCTAACCACATCTGTTTACAGCTGCTAAGATTCTGGCCTGTGAATACAAGTCATCAGTTACATGTCACCTAATACTATTTTTTCCAGTTCACAATCATTCCTTCTGGTGTATTTTCTTCTATATGTTTTTCAGCTTCAAAGCTCCCAAGCATAAACCTTCCATCACTTATCCCAGGGAACAATTGGGGTTGAAGCAACAAGAAACACCTTTTTTCTATTTTTCTTTTTGTTTTATCATATTCTTAAGTCCCTCTTGGACCACACAGGACCATTTTTACCTGACCCCTCAAGTTCTGGTAGACCATTATACATGCCCTTTCAGTGTCACATGGCTGAACCTACATCAAGTATTTTTCCATTTCTTCCATGCATGTTTCTTTTATGTTTGCTATGTCTGTATTATTTTGTTCATCCACACCTCTACACAGAGGAAATGCCACAGAGAAAATTACAAACACAGGCGATCAGCATGAAATTTCCTTTCAAAAGGTTGAGTCATTCCCTTCCCAAACTCTGTATTGTTTTTCTTTCATTTTTTGTCAAAAATGATATGATAGGAAAGCAGAAGTTTACAGAATTGCTCTGTTGCAAGGATTTATTTCAGGTTTGGGTTTGGAATGTGTTTTAAACTGAGCCAGCCCTCTCTGAAATACATAGTCTTGCCATAAAAGTGTCAGGGACTCTTAGACGAATCACTGGTTACTAGGTTTTGATCCTAACGGATCAATTCCAGAACTGCAGCAGGTTTTATATTCCTCCCTAACCTTTCCAGAGCTCACTAAAAACATCTGCCTTGAATAAATCCACAGCAAAGAGAAATTTATCTGCTTATTTAATGCCCAGCAGCAGAAGGCGATAACCTTTATTTACAGTTTGGCCTGTGCAAGTATTGCCAGTCCCAGGGAGGCTACAGCTTTTCTTTACCTGCTCTACAACACTAACAAGTGGAAAACTGACAGCAAGCAGCAAATAACCATTGTATTAGCCCAGACATGAGTTTTGAGTTTTTGTCTGGACCCATCAACTGCTTAGAGTCTTCTTGGAAAAGTCTGCTAAGGTAAAACAAGCCTTCTGCTCTATGCATCAGCTCAGCAAGTGGAAAGAGCTGAGAGAAAACCTGTTGCCTGTGCAACTTCCAGAGTTAAGATTCGGTTCTGCATCTAGGTCTGGGGGAATACTATCAAAAAGGGATGGTGCTAGGTTCCCAAAGAAAAGAAATGAGAAAAAAATACAACAAATCTGTTCACTGAAGGATACTGTTCTTAAAAACTGAGCTGCTACGAAATAGTCTCAATTGTCACAAACCTAAAGGCATTCAGTGGCCTTCAATGCCAATATATTCAGTGATCCTTTTTCTTGTTTGAAAGGAAAGATTTTCTGAAATTTAGCCTATAACTACATTCCACAAAAGAAGTTTTTATATACCAATTTCACAAAATCATAGGTTTGCCTACTTAAATGCATCACAGTTGCAGTAGCAGTTTAGGGCAGTAAGATGCACTCTTTTGTCTCGTGCTTTTAACTTCAAAGGGATATCCTGCTTTGTAATAACTGTTGCAGGCTCCAGTGGGGCTAACAATGAATGCAAACCCACAGTATCCAAAAGAGTCAGCCAGAAGTGACAATAAACCAAAGCGTAAATAACTGTGAAACACCAATGGGGTGTGTACTATTTCTGATTGTAGCTCACTTTGATTGTAACACCTCAAGACTACTGGAAATGATGGCACACCTTACATGACATATTCTCGCATTACATACCTTGTACTGGCTGCAGCGTTCAGTCATTGATGTTAAGGACTAGATAAATGTCACATGTTGCTGCTCAAAGTCACATCAACCCACAAGCAATGAGATCAGGAAGGAAACAGCTATCAAAAGGATGTCTTGGTTTGCAAAATTCCCCCAAATTATATCCTATATAGACAGGCACATTGAAAGTTGTGCTAGGACTGGCAATGATACAACTGTTATGAAGTTGCTATTCAGAATAACTCCCCTCATAGACATGAATTCATATGCAATATGAATTCCACTAATGACTAAAATTCCTCTCAAGAGACAATCACTCTCCCATGAAGTCAGAATTGTAAAACATCCAGATTCTGTCAGCGCTTAGCGTTCACTCGTCCTGCTATTTCTGTAGACTACCTTTGCTTTTAATTCCACAAAGTCCAGAATTAAGACCTGTGAATGATAAGTATTCAGTCATTGAAAAAAAAAGAATCAGTTGCATTTGGGTAAATTCGAATTTACCCTTGAAAGACAGAAATGTTCTCTATTCACCTTTTTATACGTCACACACTATTTAAAATGTAGCTTTCAATCCAATTTGCATACCTTGCTGATTTTTGAGGAAGGTTGTTCCCTTTCTAGGCTGTTAAAGACTAACAGAGTAGATAGTAGTTAACATCCTAAAATAGGCAGGTTTGCTGCTCCTGCAGCTAAGTGACACTGATTTTTGACACATGGTTCTCAGCGAGAAGAATTTGGTATCATAACTGCCCATTTATATTTGAGACAGAAAATTACAGAATATACATCTAAGAGAAAATGTATGGAAGTTTTTGATGTTTTAATTAACATGTGCACTGATAAATGGTTAAACGAAACCAGACTTTTCCACTTGT